CATTAAGTCTCGACAGCAAATTTTATACAATGACAGAACTTTGGTCTGTTCTTGGTACTGTCCACAGGGACTTGTAGCACCAACGGAGGCCAGTGAAACCAGCCGCGTAACCTGATGCTTACTGGATTTTCCCTTTTCCAAAAGGGTGCCAGATATGCAAAGCTGGACTGCTTTGTCTCTGTCAATACATGGTCTCCCATTGCCCTCTGGCATTTCACAGATGAAAACCAGGACCCCTGTGGCCAAGCAACATCAGAGTGGGGTCAAGATGGCAGATGAGGAAGAGCACCTAAACTAGGAGAGGCTGCAGCAATTTGCTTTTGGCCAACCTACTGGAAAGGGCAAGATTCCTTCCCCTTCTTCTCCTCTTCTCTCTGCTGAGTTCATTGAATGCAAATTGCTTTTTTGCCCTTTGAACTCAGTCTGCAGCTGTGCAAGTAAGCTGAGAACAAAAGGGGGAGGAGGAGAGAGAAACCGGGACATTTTAAAAACAGCTGAAAAAGTGGGATGATGGAAGATTAATTGGGATTGTCCCTACCAAACTGAGGAAATTGGAGGTTCTTCTGCTAGCTACCTCCTACTCAGCCCAAGCAAAGTATAAAGCAGGGCTAGATTAATACATCTGCCAAAGCAGTGCTGGTTACTGGGGACCCTCCTGTAACATAAGCCAAATTCCAGGGCTGGGATATCTGTCTTTACAAGTACTGTAAGCAAACATAAGTGCAAATGATTCCACAACATTACAGAAATGTGTAAATAAAGTGTTGGAGAAGACAAGTGCTAGATTCCTGTTTTGCAAATCGAAATCCTTTCCAATGTACTCCTGTCAAACCTGACATGGAGGTGGTGGAAAAAAACAATTTGTCTTTGTTGTTCCAAAGAATTACAAGCGGAAGACAATTGGATTGTAAATATATATATATATATATATATCCAGTAATAGGAATGGAAGATGAGGTAAAGGGAGGGCAAACAAAATGCGCTGTGGCGCCTTAGTGTCATTGCAACCAGTTTAGTAGAATGGAGGAGACGGTTTCTTAATAATTAATATGTCTATCCAGAAGAAGAAAAGGTATTGGACCTCCACCGTCAAGCAAAAGATGACAACCAAGATCTTGACCCAAATCAATCAGGGATTTTTTAAAAAAGCAACACACCATTAAAGCCATAGATTTGTTTCTTAATACGCTAATCTATCTCTTGGTCAAACATGCAGGTCTTGTGTCTCAGTTTGCAGCTGCAGATCAAGCCGGTATAATTACTGCCATTCAGTCAGAGGGAATCATATCTATGCAAACCTATATCTCTCCAGATAAGCGGCCATTGTGCTTGCAGTCATGGTAACCGGCGCAGGAGGACTTAATGAGAAAAAAGAGGCTTTGCCGTTGTTCGTACGGATAAATGCACAAGTTGGACAGGCCCCCAGAAGCATCTTTAAGAATGACCTGGAGAGGATGCCTCCTTGCACCTTTTGACAATACTTTTCCAAAGCCTACTGGAACCGGGAGCAAATCCCACATTCGAGGGAGACCACAACTCCCTTGTCGCAACAGCTCCATTGGCTGCTGGTCCTTGTCCGGCACAGTTCAAAGTGCTGGTTTAGAGATGGATAGAGATGTAAAATTTCCAGAAATTTTGAAGCCATGGGGGGGGGGAGAGAAAAACCACCACCACCACCCCAGTTTTTTTTCGGGGAAAATTGGAATTTTTTGGAAAAATGTAAAAATGCAATATTAGGACTTTTTACAGATTGAAAGTCGCTCTATTACTTTGTTGTTGTTGTTGTTAACTGCCCTCAAGTTGATCTCAACTCATGGTGACCCTCTGGATGAGAGATCTCCAAGAAGACTCTCTGTCCTCCCCTGCTCTGCTGAATTCCTGCAAATCCTTAATAAATCCCCATAGGGACCTCTTTCATAGAATCCCTCCATCTGGCATGTGGCCTTCCTCTCTTTCTACTTCCCTCCACCTTTCCCAGTATTATTGTCTTTTCCAATGATTCATGCCTTCTCATGATGCGTCCAAAGTACAACCGTCTAAGTCTTGTCATCTTGGCTTCTTCCAGGGAGGTTTCTGACTTGATCTTCTCTAGGACCCATTGGTTTGTCCTTTTGGCTCTCCATGGGATCCTCAGCATCTTCTCCAGCCCCACATTCTCTCAAATGCATTGATGTTATTCCTATCCTCTTTCTTGACTGTCTTGCAAGGACTCAAGTTCCAGCGCTGAAAATTGAGGGCCTGAGAGAGTCCTCCCCTATCAACTAGAAATGAGAAATTATTTGGCTATCTTTCTTTGCTGAATTTGGAAATGCTCACGAAGGCACCCAATCATGGCTGAACTTGGAAGTGAAGCAGGGTCAGCCCTGGTTAGTTCTTGGATGGGAGACCACCAATGAATACCAGGTGCTGTAGGCTCTATTTCAGAGGAAGGAACCGGCAAAACCACCTCTGACTATTCCTAGCCAAGGAAAACCCTCTGGGACATTCATGGGATCATCATAAGTCCACAGGTGACTCAAAAACACATACAGACACAGAGGAAGAAGATAACAACTGGAAGCATATCCTTAAGACTGGGGAAAGGATGGGTTTGTTGGGAGTCAGTCTACTGTCCTTCTCGTCTCAAAGCACAAATAACTTTGGCCACCGTTTGTCCAGAAATGAGTTTGCCCATATTACATATTTAGAAAATTTTGGTATCAGCCAAGGCTCATTCCAATCAACTCTGGAGGATTTGCAGTTTTGTGCAGGGGACAAAGATGAGAGAATAATACATCGCTCAGCTGCAGATCCCAAGTTTTCACAACTTGGACCTAGCTATGGCAGTTAAAGTGGCATTGAACTGCATTGACTGTGTAGTGTGAAAGCACCCCAGGATGGAAGGAGTTGGCACCATTCGCTGAAAATCGGAGCAAGGAATGCTGTCCGGGAGAAGAGCCAGTGTGGAGTAGTGGTTTGCGCATTGGACTACAACGCTGGAGACTCTGCTTAGCCATGAAACCCACTGGGTGACCTTGGGCAAGTCACACTCTCTCAGCCTCAGGGGAAGGCAATGGCAAACCTCCTCTGAACAAATCTTGCCAAGAAAACCCTTTGAAAGGGTCGCCTTAGGGTCGCCATAAGTTGGAAAGGGCTTGAAGGCACACAACATACAAAAAAAAGTCCGCTCTTGCCAATTTGGGATTTTGTTGCATTTAGCTGCATGGCCAATACAGCTGCCCTATATATATTTTCTACCGGGAAGAACAAAGTGGCTTGCATATATTATCCCTTCCCAAACAGAAACAGTTCTCCTTCCTACCCAGATCCTAAATCTATTTTCTTTTCTGTCAATGATAATTGCCATTGGTTTGAAAAAGAAAAGATATACAGCCAAGTGTGCCTGTTTAAAGACTGCAGCCTTAATTAAAATCCAATTTAGGCTTCTCTTCTATTTTTAAATGTTTAGCTACAGTCTCTAGATGCCATAAAAACAGCTTGCCTATTTTCATAATGGAGGAAAGGAAGGGAGAAGAAAAAAAAGACTTTCCCGACTCATCTTGCAGACCTTGCAGGCAAGGAATGTGCCCTTATTCAGTAGTCAGATATAGCAGCCTTGTTGAAGTTATTAAACTAATTTAATATATTAGTAACAGGGGTGGGTAACTACTCCCCCCCCCCAGTGACCCATTATTTTGAGGATCCTTTGTGGAGTGCCATAGGAGGGAGGACACAGTCAAAAGGGGACAGGGTCTGGAAAAGAAGTATGGAAAGTTTCTTTTGAGAACTATAACTCCCAGAATCCCTCAACTGGTGTGGCCAGTGGCCATGCTGGCTGGAGGATTTCTGGGAGTTGTAGTCCAAATGGTAACTTTCCCTACCTGTGGCTGGGGATGTGTAAAGTGCCGAAGGAGCGACAACGTCTTCTGAGCACTCCTGGCACTTGTCTCTCCAGCAAAAATCACTCCCACACAAGATCATATCGTGGGAGGATATGTTGACTTGAAGCCACATAACAACAACAACAGAGAGACGGAAGAAAGGTTTTTAAAAATATTTTAAATTTAACAGATAATAGCAAGAAACGCTGCTGTTGGGTGCCTTCAAGTAGACTCCAGTTTACAGCAGTCCTATCCTAAGGTTTTCTCGGCCACATTGATTCCAAAGAGATCTGCCATTGCCTTCCTCTCAGGCTGAGAGTCTGTGACTTGTCCAAGACCACCCAATGAGTTTCCATGATTGAGTGGAGATTCGAACCCTGGTTTCCCAGAGTCCTTGGCTGCCGCCGCACTGCAGAATTAATGCAGTTTGACACCACTTTAACTGTCATGGCTCCATCCTACGGAATGCTGGCGTTTGTACTTTGTTGTGGCACCAGAGCTCTCCAACAGAGAAGGCTAAATAGTTCACCAAACTACAGATCTCAGAATTCCAGAGCACTGAGCCATGGCAGTTAAAGCAGCATCAAACTGCATTAATTCTGCAATGGAGATGGTGCCCTAGTCCAGCGCTTAAACTGTTACTCCCTAGTGGCTCTCATATAAGCAACTTTATGGTCTCATGCTAAAACCATCAGTGAGGGCAGAAGAGCAAATGGCAAGGAGAAAACTGGAATTGGGGTCAGGTAGGTCTATAGCACAGGTTTAAGGTAACAGGGAACCCAGTCACAATGCAGCAGGTTGTAGGACACTAGAAAATGGCACTGTTGTATTTGGGGATAGCTCCAAGAGCATCAACCATAACATTGGTCCATTCTGGAGGTATCCGTCTCGCCTTCACAAGCAAAGATGCAAGCTTTGCATGCATGCACCATGTGTCTATCACCCCCCAAAAGAAGGACTTTTATTCATTATGCAGTCTTTGTTGTTGTGTGCTTTCAAGTCATTTCCGACTTACGGCAATCCAAAGACAAACCTATCCTGGGGTTTTCTTGGTGATACTTTGTGCAGAGGAGGTTTGCCCTTGCCTCCGTCTGAAGCTGAGAGAGTGTGAGTTGCCCAAGGTCATCCAGGGGGGTTCTGTGGCCGAGCAGGGATCTGAACCCTGGTCTCCAGAGTCATAATCCAACACTCAAACCAATGTTTAAACCACTACACCATGCTTGCTGTCTATGCACCACGCTATCTTTGCTTTTTCAAACCAACTTCTTTTCTTTCCAGGCTGCTAGAGCACTTGACGTCAGCTTCCCCACATGACGGGTTTCAACATCGTTTTTTCCCTCCCCGTTCTCCCATCGTAACTTTCTGAAGGTTATGTGAAGGAAGACATGTGAAGGAAGAATATTCTCATATTCCTCCCTCCCAGCTCCTGTAGCATTCTAGCTTTTAGAGATCTGAGAAAACATTCCCTTTAATCCTTGGATTACACTGAATTGTTCTATTGGATATGATTGCACTTCTCCAGGAAGTTTCCAAAAGCCCTTTGAAGCTATTTGAATTCCAAAATGTCACATTCTTTATTTGGCAAGCAGAGGGCTTATAGGGTGGTATTAGCACACTAGCTTTGATTCAATATCATCCGTCGACACAGCGGTGGGTTGCCCCCCTTTCCTTTTACCGAGCCAGCCTGCTGAATATTCTCATATTCTCCATAAAGTACCAGCTGCATCTTTATTGACGGTGCGACATCTTCCTCTTTTTTTCTTAAAGACGGGAGAGAGAGAGAAAAGATAAGGAAGATTCCTTTGACAAGTGCGAAAGGAACCTTGCTTGCGTCAATTAAAATGAATGGTGCATTTGGTTTTTAAAAAGTTGCGCGGAACATGTCTTGCAGGGTTCGGTTTGAATGATTTGAATCCGTATGGCACCTTTGTTAAAATTGAGAAGATCTTGGTCGAGTCGGTACTTGGATGTAAAATGGGATCGGACCGGATGCCCTGACTACAAAGGAGGGCGAGGCACTGTCAAATGTTGGCCATTCCAAAATAAATATATATTCATGCTTCTTGGTCCTGCTCAGAACAGAGGACATTTTGAAATTCCTCCTGGACAGAAGACTGAGATGAAGGACATGCCCTGGAAAAGGAGGCCATCTGGTCACCTTGATCTCCACGCTCCATTCCTGGTGACATCAAAATGCAATACACAAACGTGTCCAATGTGTGCTTTTTCCTTGTCTTTCCATTTTCAGAACTATTCGAGGGTAGTAAATGATGAGATTTAGGTGCTCATTATGACAGTCCCCATAGCCAAGTCTCTTTGGAGAATTTCACAGTGCAGGAAGCTGGGAAGATCCATATCAACCAGTTGCATCACTAGGGGAGTGCGAGGAGTGCGGACGGCACCAGATGACACCAACAGTTGGTCTATACACATTTTGTACAGTTATGACCACAAAAAAAAACGTATTTTCTTAACCTCAGATTACATTTATTGTATCAATATGGCTAAAACTCTATAGGAGGAAAACAATGGCAACCCCCCCTCTAAACAAATCTCATAGAGAAAATTCCGTGACACGTTCACCTTAGGGTAGCCATAGGCCAGAAATTACTTGAAGGCACAGAACAACAGCAAAGTGGCTCAGATCCTCCAGCTGTCCTGATTTGGCAGGGACAGTCCCAACTAATCCTTGGTCATCCCATTTTTCCCCCAGCTGCCTTTAAAATGTCCCAATTTCTGTCTATTCCCATCCTTTTCCCCTTTGGTCCTCAGCTTTTTTCAGTTGCTGCAAACTGGGTTCAAAGTGCAAACGTTGTTGGCGCTCCATTGGCTATAGCAGGATGGAGAGGAGAGGGCAGAATCTTGCCCTTCCCAGGAGGCTCAGGCAAAAGCAAACTGTTGCAGCCTCTCCTAGCTTGTGTGTCTTTCCTCATTTATAACTTTGGCCATCTTAAGTCTACTTCCTCAGATGCATTTGGTCACCAAATGCATTTGAGGGAGTAGACTTAAGTCTAGGAAAGCTCATGCTGCCAACGTCTTTCTTTCAGCTAGTCCCAAAGGTGCTACAAGATCTCCTTACATACTGATTCTACAGACTAACATGGCTATATCTTTGAATTTGGTCATCATGGTCTCTAAGAGACCTGGTGGTGCAGAAGTTACAATGTTGTGAGTTCGATTCTGCAGGGCTCTAAGGTTGACTCAGCCTTCCATCCTTTCGTAGGTCAATAAAATGCATACCCAGCTTGTTGGGAGCAATTGGCTTACACATTGCAAACCACTTAGAGAGTGTGGAGTTCACTATGAAGAGGTATAGAAAAGTAAAGTGCTTTTGCTATTGCTGTTACTGTCTTGACCATGCACTGACCACAGATGTCCTGGTTTGCATCTGTGAAATGTTGGAGGGTATGGTGGATACTAGGTGTAAAATGCTTGGGTTGGTACCCACTTGCTCAGGTCAGGATGGAAGGAACACCGGCAGCTAGAATATATATCCAAAGGAGACAGATGTTGGAGAGCTAGCTTTTGGCTGGCACAAAGCCTTGTGGATTCTGATCAGATCTGGCTTGCTTTTGGAGGAACGGATGTTGCTTATATTAGCCCTGTCCCTCTGCCTTCTTTGTTCTTTTTGAGACTTGAAGCTCAACGATTGCAACTCTCTGCTATCCAGAGCCTCTTTCAATCTTCTTTGTCTCTGCTTCTTTTTCTTTGTTGGCACTTTTTTTCATTTGGGGTAACAATTGTACCTGTACTTGTGCCGATACAAAATGCCACTTCCCAAAGAGCAGCTAAACAATATTTCCTTTTTTTACAAAAATAAAATCCATACCTTCCTCTACCTTTTCTTCCTACTGCAAAAGGATCATTGACACCCAGGGAGGGAGACTTGTCAGCTACTTTGCTCTCCCACAATGATCTGGGAGACATCTCCTTTGCAACCCTCCAAAACTAAAAATAATGTGAATTGTTGGTTACCAAACTGTCCCTCAGTGTTTCCTAGAGGGTTTGGGAGCCTTCCAGGCTGCTTTAGGTCCAATAAAGTCCATTTTTTAAGCAGTAAATAATCATAAGGTTAATTTCTGCATCAGTTCCTGCTGGACCAAAGGCCTTTTACGTGCCAAAAAATAAAAATAAAATAAAATTTAAAAAATCCAGGGACCAAAAATGTGACAAAATTTGGTGGTCCTCCATACCACCAAAGGGACACTGGGAGTATTTTGGTAACAAAATGAATTGCAAGTTTTTTGGCTTGGAGGCCCCAACACTCACAAAAATGGTCTGTGCTACTGGGGTTCCCATAATCCCCCCGCAGCAAATCCCACTGATTTCCTTGCACTGGTATTATTTTTATTTTGCGTGCATTAAGCCCAGATCTTGAAAATGTTACTTTCTTGGACTACACCTCCTAGTATCCTCAGCCACGAATGACACAAGTCTCCTTTCATTTGGCATTGTTTGATTTTGCAAGAATGAAGCCTAGAGCTTGCGAAAGGTACTTTCTTGGTGTACGTCTCCCTGAACCACCAGCCAGCATAGCCAATGGGAGCTGTAGTTCAAGAAAGTAACTTTACCAAAGTCATCTTAAACTAGAACAATTGGCACTCAAGCTTTGGTCTTTGAAATTATGACTGTTGATTGCTATCTTTTGCTGTATCTCCAAGGACTGGGACTTGGAAATAATGTTATTTTAACTGCTCTAATCATCGTAATGGCGCAACCTGAAATCCATTTAACCAGCAACTAATGTGGATGATGTGACCTTGAGTGCATTCTTAAGGACAAACTGGCAAAGAAAACTTGCAAAGGAAAGGGAAGCTCCGTCGTTTGATGGGTCTCTTGATGTCGAGTCCCCCTGCGGTTTGTTAGGCGTCTGAGATTCAACATGAAGGGGAACAAATGTGTTTAAAAATTGCAGTGGGCAATGTGTCATGCGTGTAGGTTTGAAAACCAAAAACCAAATTACAACTAATAAATCCTTTTTAAAAAAAATCCCAAGCTGTTCAGACAAGCTTGTGTAATACTGAAAAGTAGCTAAGAAAATGGGGCTATGCTATGAGAAGAAAAGTCCCCAATGCAGAATGCTATCAACTGTGCCCACAAATGGTGCATATAATGCTATGTGCATATAAAGCTGCATTGTGCATATAATGCCATGCAAATTGTGCATATAATGCTACATTGTGCATATAATGCCATACAAATTGTGCATATAATGCTCTCCTCTCCCTCCGTTGTGTCCAGGACAGCACTTTGCTGTTGTTGTGTGCCTTCAAGTCTTTTCTGATATATGGCAACCCTAAGGTGAACCTACTATGGGGTTTTCTTGGAAAGATTTGTTCTGAGGAGGTTTGCCATCGCCTTCCCCTGAGGATGAGACCATGTTGGACCAGCTAAAAAGCACAAAATATATCATGTAAGCTTCAAAACTTCACTGGCTAATGGACACCTTTGGCTTTCCAGATATTTTAGGCTTCATTCCCAGATGCATACCCTTCAATTGCGTTCATTGGGCCAGGACCGTCCCAATTAATTCTCTGCCATCCCATTTTTAAGCTGCATTTTTAAAATGTCCCAGTTTTTCTCTCCTCCGCCTTTGCATTGAGCTTAAGTCTGCTGCTGCAAACTGCTGCAAAAGCTTAACTCATGTTAACTCAGAATGGGGGAGAGGAGAGGAGGTGGCAGAATCTGACCCTTTCCATTAGAATCTGTTGCAGTCTCTTCTAATTTGTGTCTTCTTCCTCATCAATAACATTTGCCATCTTGACTACATGGCAACACATGCCCCAGTTTTCATCTGTGAAACGTTGGAGGGCATGCAAGCACAGTCCCCAGGCACAAAAGCAAGGAGTGACAGGACATATTGCTTTTGGAACTCCATGCAACCACGACATGAAAGAATTATCCTTGGATCCTGCAGTGAACGTTGAATATTTTTTTAAAATGTAGTGTTCCAGTTTTGAATGGAGAGGGTAGATCTCATTTCTTGCTCTGCTTCAGGCAGCAAAATGTCTTGGGGGAGGGAGTGCTAGTTTTGGGGTTTGAGGGGCAGAAGGAAAGAAGGAAGGCACTTTGCACAAGAGCTTCCAGGTCTTGTGGGTGTGCTCAAGTCAAGCATTCCCCAAAATTTGACTCCTTCTTAGTGAATAGAAGGGTGTTTTTCATCCCTAAAAACGAAGAGGGAGCCAGCATGATGTAGTGGTTTGAGCATTGGACTAG